TATATTATTATATCAAATATAATTTTATCTAATTTTTCTATTGCAACATCAAGTCCAAACTTGATGAATAATGTGTTGTCGGTAATCGTTTCACAAGATCTGTCCAACGACACCAATGTTGAAGATAAAAATTTGACGTTATAACGTACTTATATTTCAATGACAAAAAAGAGGAGTAAAAATGTACTCATCACTCAATAATTAGATGTTTTGTAATCCATTCTGCATTAAGGGATTGTGAAATGCAATCCATTGAAATATAAAGCCTCGCAAGCTACACCAAATTTGGAAGAAGGTGGAAAGTTTATGGTATCAATAATTCAATACTTCAGCCTATAATATATGAGTATATAATTGATTTGCCTCTCAAACACACTTCAATTTGCCAAATCTAACTGAAATTTAGACTACAACTGATTTGCATTCCTTTAGTTTTCTCGACTTGCTTTCAGTCCAAAGAATTTTAGAGCACACAAACATTCTCCTTAATTATTATCTCCCAACCTCAAGAGATTCATTAACTATAGTGCAAGTTCTATAAAATGAATCTTGAATTAATCGTTCTGGCTAAGGTGGGTTTTTCATGTTTTGTATATGGAAGAGAGAACCACGACATGAAGAATGTTATAGATATGTCGAGAACATTTCCAACATCAATGTGTGAAATCAACAAGCAAACTAAGAAATATCATTGTATAATAAAGAGCAAATATGTCCACAGACCTGCTTTGGGCAATGATAGAACAATCAGCTAAGCAAGAGTTACAAATACAGTGGTGCGGGACTTGTGGCCCTTCAGACCTCACCAATTCTTCAAGAAGAGAGAATCCTTCAAACAACTCAGACAACGAGCAAGAGAGCCAAGTTCAAAGCCCAAATTCAAGAACAAAGCACGAAAACTTTAAGAATACTGAACACTACTGTAATAAAATTAACAAGTTGTCATTTCTTCTGTTGAGTACCAGGAGCCAAATTCACTAAACCAAACAAGTGAAACGAAGCAAATACTAGCGGTGATAGCTTTAACTAATTAATCCCTATATTTCAAACCAGCAATTACAAACTCACCAACATGAATGGGCCTTTCAAGTGCATTTGCAACACACAATTTCTTGCTTCACACTTAAGCTTCAGTTTCCCAGGATTTTACCATGGCAGCATCAGGCAGTGTCACTATTGCCAAAAGAATATACTCCCTCCGTCCCAAAAAGATTTACACGTTTCAAAAAAATTGCGTCCCACAATCTCTTACCCATTTATATTAAAAAAACCACTTTTACCCCTTACTTTTTCAAACTCTACCTATCACATCATACCTTTTTCTTAATAATCTACACATCTCATCATACTTTTACCCATCACATCAAGGGTATTTTTGAAAAGTCAACACAAAATTATCCCTCCCTTAATTTTAACTTTAGTCAAAATGGGTAACATTTTATGGGACGGAGGGAGTATTATTCAAATTTGCAAGCATATTGGAGAAAGAAATCAGGAAAAAAAACAGCAGAAAGTTTTACTTGTAGAAACTTTTGATGTGGACAAAACATACTTACATCAATTTAATTTGCCATAATCCATCTCTTATGCCACCAAGAAAATTAATATTCTTCACATGTAGTTTACAACCAAGGTACAACAAATGCGGCAAGGATTTGTCACCCCTTGCCAGAATCCATCTCTCTTATGCCACCAACAAAATTAATATTCTTCACATGTAGTTTGCAACCAAGGTACAACAAATGCGGCAAGGATTTGTCACCCCTTTGGGCAATTGAATTATAGCAAAATCCTGAATATCTTGCTCCTTGAGCCTTGAGGGAGGGGTGGCTGATAATGTCTCGCTTGAAATTGGTCTTAATGAGCTTCTGTCTATCCTCCGGGTTTTCAACACCAGAACATGTTCCATTCAAAAATTATGATATACTTTTTTCTCAAAAATGTAATCTCATGGTTAGATAAATTTTCTCTATAGGTTTTGAACATCATAGCACACGAGTCCTTGTTGAGTAACGCTGAAGTATAGGTTTGGGTTCTTGCTTCGTAAGTGATATGGAGAAAGGGGACGAGACATTAGATAAATTCAAGTTATGAAATCATTTATCCGAGCTCTTGGAGATATTGTTAACTTGGCTACTGCTTCCAATTTCCAAAACCCCATCAACAAATGCAAGACTACCACAAAACCGCGTAGCCATTGTTAAGAACTTTCTAAAATTGTGCAATGATGTACTTCGAGAAGAAGATGAGAGACTCTAGTAAGTGTTTTCTAAGAGTCAATTCTAAAGTTTAATATATAAACCATTTTTTCAAAATTATTTGTTTAATGACTTCTTATATTATTCTTTTTCAATCAGCAAGTACTTGTATTTCATTACCAAGAATGACATCATATATGACACAACAGAAGAGATGGAATTTTTGGATAAGATTTGGAATATGTGGAAATCAAGTCCAGTAGATTTTATGTCTGCTATTACATTGGAAAGGAAATATGGTTATACATCTTTGGAAAAAATACGAGAAACTCCGCCTCTGTATTATATTCATTTTTATGGAGACAATGAATTTTGTTCAAAATATGATGATGGAAATTCGTTATTATTATTTTAGTTTAATTGCAATAAACATGTCCAAGATAGCTTCAATCATTGGATGATGAGTTCTCATGATATTCATCAAGAGGTGTTAAGGATTGCTCCAAGTGTTATTACAAAACAGCTTTACGAGATTGTTATTACTTACTACTTAAAAGATTTTGTGAAGCCTCTTGACAGATAAATGAATATTATACAATCAGGTTTTATTTATTTTAATTAATAATTTAATAAATGAATTTTATAATATAATTATCAAACACAATATCAATATATTTGAGGCACCCCCTTTCATCTTATGGCCAATACAAATGTTTATTTAGTATCTTAATATTTTTTTTGTCTTGAAATTAAATGGAATGACAATTTAAATTTCAGATTACATAACAATGTATGCTTAATGCAGGAGAGAAATTTAATACTAAGAGAATCTCCAACAGACTCCTATTCTCTGAGTGTCTATTGAGGCACATAATCAATTTATTTGAGACGCTGAAGAGAAAATTGTGTAACATTGCATCTACTTCAAATTGAACTCACCCTTAGTTCCCATAACATTGATGCCCTAAGGTCCTTTGGTACCCGTTCGTAACATTGATGGTTCTCACCCCTTTCCCAGTAAACTCCTCCACCCCGCTCTAACCTATACATATCCCCTACCCCTAATTTAATTTTGATTTTACAGTCAAAATTTGAATGTAGAGTCAAAATTAACTTGTGGTATTCAATTTGAAGGGGTGGGAGTGTGTTCAGGTCGGGATAGGGTGGGAGAGTTTACCAGGGGATTATGGAGTAGGAATTGTCAATTTTACAAATGAGATACCGAAGCACTTCCGAGTCATCGCATAACAAAATTTTAATGTGATTCCTAATCTCATAAAAACCAAGGGGGGGGGGGGTTCAATTTGAAGTATGTCCAACATACAATTTCCCTTCTAAATCAAGGATACAATCCAGAAAAGAAATGCATCAAATATATTGATTATGCACTACAACAGACATTAGAAAATAGAAGACAGTTAAGAAATTCTATTAGTACTCAATTTATCTCCTGCATCAAGCATCCATTGTCATGTAATCTGAAATCTAAAATTGTTATTTCATGTAATTTCAAAACAAAGAAATACAGAATATTAAGATACAAGTAAAATATTTGTGTTGGCCATAAGATTAAAGAAGGCACCTCAAATATATTGATCTTGTATTTGATAATTATATTATAAAATTTAAATATTAAATTATTAATTAAAATGGATAAAATACGAATCTATAATATTTATTTATCTGTCAAGAGAGTTCACAAAATCTCCAAAACAGTAAATAATAACAATCTCATAGAACTGTTCTGCAATAAAGCTTCAAGCGATCCTTAATACATTTTGATGAATTTCATGAGAACTCATCATCCAATGATTGAATCTTTCCTAGACATGTCTCTTGCAATAAAAATAAAATTTCAATAACGAATTGAAATCATCATATTTTTAAAACAATTCAACGTCTTCATAAAAAATAATTTGAAACAAAGGCATATCTTCTCGTATTTTTTCTAAAGATGCATAACTATATAGTTTTTCCAATGTAATTTCGGACATAAAATCTACCAAACTTGTTTTTCACAGATGCCAAATTTTATCCAAAAATTTCATCTATTCGGTTATGGCATATATGATAGCATTCTTGGTAAAGAAATACAAGTACTTGCTAATTTTAAAAAATGATTAATAAGTCATTAATTTTGAAAAAATAGTTTATATATATATTAAACTTTAAAATTGACTATTACAAAACACTTACTAGAGTCTCTCAACATCTTCCTCTCAAAGGGCATCATTGCACAATTTTAAAAAAAGTTCTCAAGAATAGCTACATGATTTTGTGGTTGGTTTGCATGTGTTAGTGGGGTTTGGAAGCAACAACCAGGGGAACAATATTTCAAAGTGCTTGGATATCTAATTTCATTCCAAAAAATTTATATATTGTTACTTTCCCTTTTTGCCCACCACTTACGACGTAATAACCTCAAACGTACGTGTACTTCAGTGTTACACAACAAGGATCCATATGGGTTATTACGTTCAAAATCCATGGAGAAGGTTTTCGTAAACATGAGCGTACAATTTAGAAAAAAAGTAAAAGGCACATCATTATTTTCAAATGAAACATGTTGGTGGTCCCAAAGTGGTGAGATACAAAGTCTAGAGGGGGGGTGAATAGACTTTGTTACAAATTTAAAATCTTTTTCGTTTCTTTTGAAAACGTGAAAATAAGTGTTAATCTAGAGTTCTTGTGAACTTTAGATTGTGTGCGGAATTTGGTGGGTAGAGTGAGCAGTAATCAATATGGATGGGTTAGTTTTCACAGTTAATATAATTGCTAGTAAGAGTAAAGATAAAAGAGAGAGACACGCAAACTTTAACGAGGTTCGAAGGTGGGGTAATCCTTCTACGTCCTCAAAATCCACTATGTAGTTGGTTGTTGAATAATGAACCAACAATTACACTTGTGTGAATTNTATATCTTCGCAAGACCAATGTTGCTACTGCACTCGTGCTGGCTTTGTTGTTCCTTCGAAGGTCACGCTTCTTCAACAACTGCAAGATCCGAACAATAGGACTTGCAAGATCAACTTGTAAGAAAGTTGACCAACCCCCTTTTTAATCAAGAAGTTTGATCAAAAAGTTGTATCCTTCAACGTGGTGTGGTACTTGAGGCAAGGAAACCTTCAAGTGTTTACACTATAGCTCTTTGGAAGGAGGAGAAGTTTGCTTCTGGATAAGGAGTTTAGAAAATCTCTCTTTATCAAACTTTTTGGGCTAACTGTGAATGAGATAGCTTTAGATTGCTTCGTTCAAAAATTCATGCACTTCTTTTCATTCATTCATACTTCCTCCAGTCTTCCAAGGATGCTATTTATAGCTGGATTGGATAATCTATCCGTTGAATCATAATAGACTATCTGTTACATTTGCTGGCTTCAATTTTGAATGAAGATTGTGATTTGAAGATTCTTCGTTGCAGTGGGTGTTTGGACATACCCAATTGTTGAGAAGAGATTCCAATTTCCACAGAATCCGTCTTCTAGCTGTTGTTCAAGAATTCTGAACTGTAGCACTTTACTCTGTTTGTCTTCTAGTGCTTGTTTAGGAATTCTGGACGGGCTCTTTAATTTTAGAGGTCCAGACTTTGTCTTCGAGTAATTTGTTCTTGAGTCAGCATAATTATCTTCAATCTAGCCGTTGAAAATCAAGAGATTGATTTTTCCTTACCAACGGGTAGAATTTCTTCATTCAGGACTTAGATAATTTTCTAAGTCTTTTTCCCACTTGTCCGCTTTTTGAGAATTCCGGTCTTCAATGAGTCTTCCGATTCTTAGCTGACAAATCCGGAGGGGTCATTCTGAGTCTTCCGGGTGAGAAATAGATACGCGCTAGTCTTCCGATTTGGATGACTTAGCCTTCAGCGGGTTGTAGCGAGACATCCGGTTCTTATGTAGTCTTCCGGATCTGAGGATTTTCATCTAATTGAGAAATCCTTACTTGTCTCTGACATTTCCGATCAAGATATCCAATTTCCATATCACTAAATTTGATTAAGTCTTTAGGCATCAAAACGCTTAAAGAAATATCACAGCTTCATTGGAAATCTCAAGAGCTCGGTTTTGACAATATTTCTAAAAAGAAAAATTACATTGAATATTGGGGGAGACCTAAAGTCCCTAATACATTCTAAATACATCATCATCAAAATCTATAATATTTTTTCCCAACAATTTCCCCATTTTTGATGATGACAAACAAGTGTTTAAGAGTTCCGGTCGCTGTACTGAGAACTAAGTGGGAAGGCATTTTCCAAACGGAGTGAGTATAATTTAAATTTGATCCGTGGTTGAATATAATGATTTAAATTTGTATAATTCAAATACAAATTTAGAAAAGTAAACTTTATAAAAGATCTCTAGTTATATGTCATTTTACATATTTAGTTCCTAGATATCAAATACAGAGTATTATTAATTTAGTCTCCCATTATTATATTCAGTTCCACGAATAATTTTTTGTTAACATTTACGTTAAAACGTGAATAAAATTGTAAATTTATACTTCTTTCTATCATCAATTAAACTTCTTCCATCCTCTCGTACTCCTTTCCCAAACTCGTCACTGACTTTGAAACTTTGAACCGGAAATTGAAATCATTACTTTTTCTCTCAATTTTTTGTCTAATTGGTGGAACCCAAATTCAAAACCAGTATCCTTCATGGATGAGTTTTAATACACCATTCGTCCGGAAATATTATTCCCACTTTTCTTTTTGGCTCGTCCGTAAATATTCTTCCTATTTCCCTTTTTAGTATGCTTTTTGAGGATAAATTTCAAAATATTCTTCTATTTTTATCACTAATCTACTTTTTTAGTACTTTTGTAATAATAAAAAGAGATTTAAAAGTTTATGGTATGTGCATTTTTAAAAATTTTGCATTTTTATACTATTACAGTATTACTTAATAAGCGTGCCAAGTTAACACGGGAGAATATTTCCGAAGGGAGGGAGTTTTTATTTTTTTTAATTTCTTGAGCCTAGCCGATAAAACTCATTCATAAAACTTATTAGTTTTAATTTTAGATTTCACCAAAAAGACTAAAAATTGAGAGATCATTTCATTTTTGGGTTTAGATCATTAAACTCAGCGACGAGTTTGGGAAAGAGTATGAGAGGAGGGAGGAAGCGTAATTGAGGAGAAAGAAAACGTATGAATATACAATTTTATCTATTTTCTTAACAAAAATTTTAACAAAGAACCATTTGTGAAAAATAATATAATAATTAGAGACCAAATTAGTAATATTTGATATGTGAGGACTAAATATGTAAAACGACTAATAAATGGGGACTTTTTATAGAATTTACTCTATTTTTATTTTCTAAATATGAGTTTGCACATTGATAATTTGAGATTGTACATGCATATTTTACGTAATGTATATGATCATGATTAATAATGTAAATATATTTTAGTTATTATTTCGAAAATAAAAACATGAAAGTGTTGTATATTTTCAAAATAATATTTCCTCATGAAATGTCGTTCTGTACCGTCTGAAAGTGTCATACTCTTGTTTTTGCTCACCCGGCCACCCCTAGCTCAATCCCATTTCCGGCAGAAGGAAGGATTAACTCTGTTCCAAACCACGGGCGACTGCTTCTTCTTCTCCGATCATCTCAGCCCCAACTCGCCAGAAGCATACATCACTCTCGCCTAAATTCTCAGGCACACAACTCTTTTCGTTCCATTTCTTATTTTTCACACCGCCACTTCTCTCCTCCCCAAACCCATACGCCGTTCCGTTGTTTTTCCTCTCCTGACCTCGCCGCCGATCGCACAGACCTGCCGGATCAGATCTCTATTTTGTCTGATATTTTCTCTAAACCGGACAAAAGCAGTGTGGATATCCGGCTTGATTTGGAGTCCACCGATGTTGCAATAACTCACGATTTGGTGCTTAGGGCTTCGGAGAATCAGGGATTTGCCCCTGAATCTGCTCTCAGGTTGTTTGATTGGGTTGTAGAGAACGAGAGTGAGAGATTGAGTTCTAAGTCATATAATCTGTTGCTAGAGATACTGCTTGAAAATGGCAGTGTGAATGAGTTCTGGGAAACGGTTGATGTTATTAAGAAGAAAGGGTAGGGAGTGTCTAAGGGTGTGTTTGATATGGCTTTGGTAAAATTTGAGAAGAAGGGCTAGCCGACGATGTTCAGAAGCTGAGCCAGTTGTATGCTCTTCGATCGACAGATAATTCCGTCGACGAGGTTAGTACAAGGGCATGTAAGATCATACGCGGTAATGTCGTTTGGGATGATAATGTGGAAAAATAGCTTCAGGATTTCAACTATACTAGTGATTCGGTTTCCATGGTATTGGTGAGTCTTGAACATGAAATCCATAAAGGTACGATCTTTTTCAGGTGGATCAAAGAGTGTGGTTTGTTTAAACATGATGGTTGTACATATAATGTGATGGCGAGAATTTTAGGTAAGAGGGGCTCTATAGAGATTTTTTGAAAGGTTATGGGTGAAATGCGAGATGCTGGGTATGAAATTGAAACCTCAGCATACCGTGAAGTCTTTAAACATTTTGCTACTAAGTAAATGATCAAAGAAGCTGTCGGGCTCTATGCGTATGCAATGGAAGGTGCAAAGTAACCATCTCAGCGAGATTACATCTTTCTTTTGAAGAAAATATTTGTTGGCAAGGATCTTGATATGGATCTGTTCTAAAAAGTTTTGAGGGTTTGTAAAGAAAGCGGGAAATTGTTAGAAAGATCCACTCTTGATTCTGTTCTGAAGTCATTGTCCAGTAATGGAAGATGGGAAGAATGCAATAAGATAATGAAAGCATTGAAAAGTGTTGGCATAACACATGGCCACTCCCAGCAGAGTAAGATTGCGTATTATCTCAGTTTGTATGGAAAGAACGACGAGGTAGATGAGTTAGTAACCGATATGGATTCATCAGGTTCGGGTTTGAGTTATAAAGCATGGGCATCTTTAGTTGATGGATACTGTAGAGCCGATAATCTTAGCAAAGCCTCAGATGTGCATGAGAGAATGATCACAAAAGAAGGGCCTTCTCGTGCTAAGAGGAAGCAAGAATCGTCTCTTTCGGCATATTGTCGCAAGAGTTGAGCTGAAGATACGGTTTTAATAGGATTCTTTAGGTTGCTACATGTAATTAGAGCATTTTATTTCTGAGTTCGGCTTGCATTGAGTGCCTATTGATTCATCTTTTTCCACATGAACTTCAGCTTCTTATTACAGTGATCTGTTGTTCTAAATATAGACTTACAACCATCTTCCATTCTTCCCCACCACCTGGTTCTAGATTCAATGCCAACGCTTGATGAGAGTCCGTTTGTTGTTTCGACTGAAGCTAATCAATTGTTGGTTGTCATTTTTATTGAAAAGTACCAAAGAGCCCCTCCTAAACCTATCTATTCCCTCCCATTTTCTTTCATCAAACAAGGTAAGGTGGTACCTGGCCTACCTGCAACCAAAAAACATATTCTAAGTAGTACATATTTCATTTGAAAATAAGACTTTTCTCTTATGCAAGAGAGCAAGTGCCATTATAATCTCCACTGTTATATGAAAACAGGACACTTTTTGTTGGGATTGTTTTATGCCATACCATTAGGTAGCCCATTTGCCAAACAAATGCCTTTGTGGGATTGGATTTCAAAGGGATTTCAATTCGGCTAATGGGTGAATAAGGAGTGTATATGGAAATGTATGAGGAGTGTATATTTGGAGTGTGAAATGGTTGAAATAAGAAGTGTATATTTATAGTCAGTGGGGGTCTAGTCACACCGGAGTACGGTGACTCTCCGGTGTCACTGTCATTTTGGAGTACTTCTGGTGCTTTTTTCGTAAAAATTAACGGTGGGCTTTGTGGCACCCCTGAAACCCCCACCCTACCCCACCCCTGCACCCCATCTCTATGAACGGAGCACCGAAAGTGCTCCAAAATGACAGTAGCACTGCTAGTGTCACCAAAAGTGGGTGTCACTAGAACCCCACTAATTTATAGTTGACTTTTTAATTTTGTTCTTGATGTATATTATTGAAAAAGTATGATATGATACGTAGGGCAAGAAAAAAATTGGGGTAAAAATAGTTTTAAATAGAAAGTATAAGTATTTTGGAAAAAGAAAAAAAATTAAAGATGAAGTATTTTAAAAACGGAGGGAGTGCATATGAAGATCTATCATAGCCACAATGAACCTTAGGTCGATGCAAGAATTTACCTTGGGTCAAGTGTAAAATTTTGTTTAATGAGAAAATGGCCAATAAGTATATGAGTTTTCATATCTCCCGATATCGGATATCTTTTTTGGTGTTTGGTGAAGCATAAAAAAAAATTGAATTCGATATCTCCGGATATCACAAATTTTTCAAATGAAGGGTTTCAGCACCTCTCGAATTTGAGATGTATGAATGTGGTAATTTGATATCTCCTTCAAATGCCGACCATCCCTCGTCACCGACTATCACTCTCACCATTGACTACCCCCGTTGCTGGTGACTCCAGTCAGTTACTAATTGAATCACGATGGTAAATTTCTTCAATCAAATCCATTTTAAATTTTAAAACTTATATCATTTATCTCTGAATTCTAAATTTATACTATATCAAATTATATCTCTAAAACTCATTGAAAGTATTAAACTTGGTTTTAGTTGTTAGACACCTCGCACACCTCTAGAGAGGGGGTGATTAGAGGTGTTGCCCAAAAGACCAGTTTTTTGCGCGGAAACGTTCTTCACAAATATTCAATAAAAACAATGCACCACAAACCAAATAAAGTGAAGGATAAGAGCAATGCACACACGATATATACTGGTTCGGCCTAAATGCCTACATCCAGTCCCCGAAGCAATCGTGCCCAGGCCTTCACTAACCCGTCAAACTTAACAGAGTTTGACAATCCGAATACAACTCGAGAACTTGATTTCACAAGCCTCTTATCTTACCACCGAAGTTTTGATTTCACAAAACTCAGGATTTCTTCCACCTAACGTTTGATTTCACAAACCGTTAGGATTTCTACCACTTGGTGTAATCCCAACACCAAGAATACAAATCCCTTACAATAAAGTAAGAAAACAAACCGCAACCGAGTAATTCTCCCAACACGGAGTAGATTGTTGCAAATACAATGAAGTCCTTTAGAATATGGCAATATCTCTCAAAGACTCAAGCAATGAGGAAAAACTCAAGCAAGAAATGATTTAGCAATCAAAACAATTGCCTTGCTTGGATATAAGGAGGGGATTGAGTAGAATCTCTTTGGATATTCAAAGGATATGTTCTTCAAAGTGTTCTAAGTGTTCTCATCAATATAATCACGAAGAGGGTTGTTTATAGAAGTTAGGGAGTGGATAGAGATGAAAAGAATTCAAAAAAAACTAGCTGTTTGGTAGTTGAAACTGTCGACTTATTCGAATAACTCAAGAACTATTTGAACAGTTTGGATCAATCACGTGACTTGAAAAACCAGTTCCTCTTCGAATAAATGGTGATTTATTCGAATAAATCAGGGTGAAAAGCCAGTAAATATTCGAATAAATGGTAATTTATTCGAATAAAACAGGTTAATTTCAGTCACAAGAAAGATCACGACTTATTCGAATAAACTAAAGAGTATTCAAATAGAAAGGCAACTTCCCCACACAAAGGCTGATTTAAAATGAATTTTAAAGGTAAGATGATAAGGGAATGAACCTTAGAGATGTCATACTCTTTAACACATAATCTAAGACCTAAAACACTACCCAACTAAGGAAACAACCTCTTCGGTCTCGTCCCTTCCACCGATACTCAAGTCCCTTCTTCACGGACGGATGTGAAGTTGTTGTAGTTTTGATTCTTAGCTTTGATGCTCAAAATGATGATGATGTTTTTGTTAGGTCCTCCATATTTAGCATATGGGTTGGCGTTATTTTTGACAACACACAATCACTAGTTTAGTGTGGTGTAGTGTCCTTATGAAAGTAGAATTGTGTTGTTAGCATCATTGGTCATCCTATCTGGACTAGGACGCTACGTTGGAAATCATCTGATTCATGCTCAACGAAGGACTCCTCTCTGTATTAAACATAGCAATATGCGCAAGAGTTCTAGAGACTCAAGGTTAGGGTTTTACCCCATGCTAATCCAGAACTATAAATAGGGGATCGCAGCTTGGCAGAAGGTGTGCGAAAGAGAAATATATTCGGCTGATAAAGAGAAAACATACAGAGAGAGTTGATCTATCATAAAGAAGAAGTATATCATATACACATACGAGAGATTACAGCAAGGAGATCAGCCATGGATCTTCTCTAAAGGTTTGTTCAGCTTGTGCATCGTGTGAGGCTGAGCAAATGTCAAGAACACATCCTTATTGCAGAGCAACGAGAAGGTATAATAGGCCTAGTTTCGACACAAACAGAGTTTGGTGTCTGATCACGTAAGTAGACAAATCTGTTCAATAGAAGGGTCTGTTGAGGTTGATTGTGTAATTCTTATGATGATCTAGTGGAAAGGCTATTACACGGATGTGGGCCTCGCAGACGTAGGAGAGTTGGCTCCGAACTGCGTAAAAAAATTTCTGTGTCTTTGCTTGTTTTTCGTTTTGTTTGGTTCGGTGTTAGAAAAGGTGTTGTAGCATTCTGTGAAACTTAGTTGTTGCGCTAGAGCACAATTTCTAACCGCCTTTTTGCTGTGTTAAGTGTGTGTGTCTTTGTGTTATATACTGTGCTGTGGGTGTGGAAATTTCAGTTTTGTCACCCTTTTGTCATTATCAAAATCTAAAAGACAATGGACAAAGGACATTGCAAAAATATATATTCATGATAGCACATTGTCCAACATTAGTTAGGCCAACATATAAGGCTGTCAGTTTGGAAACACATGCCTTTCAAAGGGTCGGATGATGAGTCCGCAGTCTCACTCAAATTCAGAAAAGAGTGAGATGTAAATCTGATACACACAGTCAAGGCCATTGTTTGGTCACTCTCTGGATGGATGGATTGGTAGATGAGTCTCATTCATTTACATCCAAATCATGATTTGTCATGATTGGTTTTTGATTCAGATAACTCAGTTCTTTGGCTTGCCTTGATAATGGGATGATATCCTCGGCTTTATTAAAAGTACCATGCTACCCTTAAACCAAAAAATGTGCTCCATTTGTACACCACAGTTATGCACAAACATTTTGATGGTTTACACTGACACAAATGTTGGTGCATTAACAAAAATTTACACAGACACAAAATGTTAGTGCGTTAACAAAAATTAATTTTACACCAACACAAAATGTTGGTGCAAACCTGCAGGGTATAAATGTTAGGGTATACATAGCTTAATCCTTATTAAAAAGAGTAGAGCTTCATTCACGCTATTAACGTGTCGCTGCATTTTTAATGTACTTGTGGTGCTCCGTTTATAAAATTAATGATTCCTACCGTCCAACCGCTCCCTAAACCTCATCTGACGAGTTCCATTCACCTATTTTAACTTTTAAACTCCTCCAAATTTGTGATTATTATACATCGCTCTAAAATAATTTTCATAATTGTTTGTTTTAATTAATCGTAAATGGAGTAGTTGGTACAAAAAATTGCTCTTGGGTACCCTTAATTTTATGATAAGAACTACTAGGTACCCCTAATTTTAAAAATATACTACCGGGTACCTCCAGTTATTCAAAAACTTACTAATAGGGGTTTTTTATCCTTCCGTCTTCACTCCGTTAGTTTTCCTTCTTCACCTTTATCATCTACATCATCATCATGATTTCATCATCATCCTTCAATTTGTTCATCTTTTCTCCCTCCTCTTCATTCCGTTTCTTTCTTCTTTTTATTCTTCTTCAATTCTCCTTCACCTCCTCCTCCGATTCTAAACTCCCACCCCTTCCCTTTTTTTCTCTTCCTCTTTTATTATTATTATTATTATTATTATTATTATTATTATTATTATTATTATTATTATTATTATTATTATTATTATTATTATTATTATTACTCCGTCTCTTAGTATTTGTCCACTTTTTACTTTTTTGGTCAAATTAGATAAACTTTGACCTCAAATTATATAAAAATGATATTAGATATTGATACAAAAAAAGTTTTATTAGATTTATTATATCAAATATTTTAAAATATTTTTTTATTTAATTAAAATATAATATATACCCTATTTTATTTAATTCTAGGTCAAAAGTTCAAAACAGTTGACCAAAAAAAGTCAAAACTAGACAAATACGTAGTGACGAAGGTAGTATTATTATCATTATTATACTAGTAG